ATATAGATATAGATATAGATATAGATATAGATATAGATATAGATATATTCTTATGTTTTCACAGGTATGTATGGTTTTTAGGTTTCTTCAGGTATTTTCCTACGTCTTAATATTTGTGCTTTTATTATAGCGAAGTTTCGGCAGAATCTCATCTGCTATCCTCAGGCTTGTGTATTGGCTTCTTTTTAATCTTGTGTGTCAGGCTTAGCAGCTGTTTTTTGTTTGAATTTGGTGCTGGCTTTCTGCTTTATTTGAATGTTTTTTTCCTCATCTTGATTGGCTGGGTGTCTAGGTCTTTTTTTATTGGTCTTTGAGTTGTTGTGTTCTTGATTGGTTGGCAACATTGTGTTTTGTGCATTGGGGTTTCTTAGTGCAGCTTGGTTTCTTGTGAATGCCCGATAATTATTTATTAGGAAGCTAGGTTTTATTTGGGTAGCTGGCTGGGGCGTGTTTGGGCTGGAGGTATCGGTGGGGGGGGTTGTTTGCATCCAGATGCTTGCCTGGATTGGAGGAAAGTAAGCCATGGGGTGCAACAAGGTTCCGTCTTAGGCCCAGTACTCTTCAATATCTTCATTAATGACTTAGATGAGGGAATAGAAGGGGAATTTACCAAACTTGCAGGTGATACTAAGCTGGCAGGAATAGCTAACACCCAAGAAGATAGGCTCAAGATCCAGATGGATCTTGACAGACTAGAACACTGGGCCATATCTAATAAAATGAAATTCAATTTTGAGAAAAATAAAGTCCTACACTTAGGCAAGAAAAACCAAAAGTACACATATAGACTGGGTGAAACCAGGCTCAATAGCAGTAACTGTGAGAGAGAGATCTTGGAGTCTTAGTGGACAACTAGCTAAATATGAGCCAGCAGTGTGCAGCAGCTGCCAAAAAAGCTAATGCAATCCTAAGTTGTATTAACAGAGGGATACAGTCAAGATCAAGGAAAGTACTAATACCACCCTATAAAGCCTTAGTAAGACCACACCTAGAGTACTGCATCCAGTTTTGGCCACCACATTATAAAAAAGATGTTGAGACCCTAGAAAAAGTACAGAGAAGAGCAACCAGGATGATTAGGCGACTGGAGGCTAAAATATACAATGAACGGTTGCAGGAACTGGGCTTGATTAGTCAGGAGAAGGACCAGGGGAGACATGATAGCGGTCTTCCAATATTTGAGGGGCTGCCACAGGAAGGAAGGGGTCAAGCTATTTTCTAAAGCACCTGCAGGCCAGACAAGGAATAATGGATGGAAACTGAACAAGGAGAGATTTAACCTGGAAACAAGGAGAAACTTTCTCACAGTGAGAACAATCAACCAATGGAACACCTTGCCCTCAGAAGTTGTGGGAGCGCCATCAGTTGAGACTTTCAAGGAGAGATTGGACTGCCATTTGTCAGAAATGGTGTAGGGTCTCCTGCTTGGGTGGGGGATTGGACTAGATGACCTACAAGGTCCCTTCCAACTCTGATTATTTGTATCGGATTGTGGTATAGAGATTTTTTTGTTTGTGAGTGCAGGCTTCCAGATGATTGATAGTTTGGTGGAGTCATCTCTTCTATTCATACTATTAGGTCTTTTATCAATTTCTATGGCTTCTCTGATGATTCTCTAGCCGGGTATTTTTATAGTAGCTAGGGTTTTGGTGCCACTATGCTATGACCTGTGCTTTCATATGTTGGAAGTGTGTTCTAGCTTTTTTATTGCATTCTTGTGTTCTTCAAGGCCGGTATTTATCCTTCTGTTGGTTTGTCCTATGTATGTGGCAGGACATGATGTTCAGGGTACTTCATATATGCCTTGGTTTTCTAAGTCAATTTTATCTTTGGGGTTTCTTAGGATGGCTGCTATTTTTTTGTCCACTTTGAAGGCAGTCTTGATGTGATGCCTGTGTAGTATCTTGCTGTTAAGCCTGACACACAAGATTAAAAAGAAGCCAATACACAAACCTGAGGATGGCAGATGAGATTCTGCCAAAACGTCACTATAATAAAAGCACAAATATTAAGACATGGGAAAATACCCGAAGAAACCTAAATACCATATATATATTCTTAAGTTTTTGTGAGTACTTACATGTATGGTATTCAGATTTGTTTTTGTTATTGGTCTTGGAGTTTGCTGTTTATTGGTCTCAGAGTTTGCAAACTCCGAGACCAATAAACACAGACCAAGACTCCCAACCAATCAGGATGAAGAAAAAAACATTCTGGCATAGCAGTAGGCCAGCACCAAATTTAAAACCGAAACGGCTGTGAAAATCTGACTCACAGATGAACACAATACAGAAGCCTGTTGATGGCAGATGAGATTTTACCAAAACGTTGCTACAACTTTAAAAGCACAACTATAATGATGTGGGAAAATACCCGAACAAAGCTGAAT